CCGAAAGACACCCCACAACATTTCCCACCTGGATGTTATGTGGGCACCTAAGCACAGCTCTGGTGCTCTAGGCTCTGGCCTATTTTTGGGTCATGACTTTGGACCTCTCGGTGGATCCTCTGTGCTGAGATATCCCTCGGTAACCTTGGGTTGCCCTCTGTGGGAGTAGGATCAGCTCCTTTCACCTGTCAGCCCTTCCTCCCAGTGTGGAAGTGGATTTTTCTATCTGTTGTTGGTTAAAAGCCTCCTCTTCAGAGAGTTTGTAGGTGGTAATTCATGGAGATTGATCACCAATTTAGTTGTAATTTCCACTTGGTTCTGGGAGCTGTTGAGTGTAAGATCCACCTTGACCCCATCCTCTGCATTTCTCTTCCTACAAACTGGAAATGTCGTCTGTGGTTCATGTGAGAAGGTTGCTACCACTAGAGTAAAACTGCTATAATGCAGAGCCATCAGTGGTAGCCAGAGAGTCATAGGTCTGGAGAGACCCTTGGAGAGACTGTTGTAAGGAGAGGAAGCCCAGAGTTCTGAGAGGAATGAGCCACAAACATAACCTGCAGCTGCTCCTGAAACGCAGAGTTTGTGGGTGCTGAGCTCCCTCTGGATGTCCTGAGCGCCTCCTTTAGCTCAATCCTCCCAGAGTGGAGGCTGCTTGGAAACTACCCACAGATCTGAATGTGACTTTGGCTCTGGAGGATGGGAGGATGCTGGACTTGTTTGGAGGCACAAGACAGGCTTATGGAGAATTCTCAGAGACAGAGTGTTACTGGACATATGGGTTTACAACCACTTCTAGTGAAGACCCAGAAGGAAGCCCAGGGCAGGATGGAGACAGCTTATATCATCCCAGGAAATCCCTGAGTAATTGTGAACAGGAGCTGCTTAGAAATAGAGACATTACCGATGCTGCAGGCAGGGATCCAGAGACATAAGAATCCTGTCATTGCAAACTGGTGGGAAGGGGATCCCCTGTTACCTACAGGCACATCCCCACAGTGTGTCTGTCTATAAGGTGACAACTCCACAGGTCCAGGGGATTAGCACTTGGTCACACTGAGGTCATTACCCACATTGTGTCTCCATGGGTCACTCAGCTGCATAAGGCATTGGGACACCACTTATGAAACTCTGAACCCTTAGAGGGAAGAGGTTACAGCCCTCCCTGGAGGAGCCCTGGTGATGGTGTGTCTGTAAGCGGGGCCTTCATTTTATTGACCAGGCACCTGCCTCAGCCCATCACCATTATCACCATCATCACCATCATCATCAGCAGCATCATCACCATCATCATCATTTGCTTATTTATTATCATGTTTCTCATTTTTGTAGACCGTCTTTTGTACATACATGAGCCATTATCTGTATTTCTGCTCATTTTTTGTAACTATTTAGAGAAATTTGTAGCCAGACTCTGTTTTCCTTCTCGTGTACTGCTGACAAATGATGGCTCATTCCTGCGTCTTCTCTGTCTGCTAGACACGGGAATCTGATAAGAAAGGTGGGTTCTTCTATGTGGATGTCCTGGGGAGATTGAAACCACACCAGACCCTTGGAGTAGATTTCCTTGCTCCCCACCACTTCGCCAAGATCAAAGCCCTGAGCCAGTCTCCTCTTCGGGCTCCACGAGAGCCCCTCTGACTTTATGAAGGGCCTTTCCTGTGCTTCCCAGAGATTTCAGCTCTGTACGTGATAAACATCCTGTCCCTTGGTTGTGTGTTTGTCCTAAACCTGGACATTTGCACCATGTCGTCCTGGGTCCCCCTCCCTCTGCCTGGTGTCATCTACTCTTGGTGCTGTGACCATGATGACACATCAATGAGTGTCACCACCTTGGTCTTTCTTCTCTAGCTTTCTGTTCACAACCTTTAGGTGCCTGCTGTCCTGAACCCACATGTCCTGTTGCTGGATAGTTGGGACCCTGAGCTGTGAGGGGCTGAGCTGCTCTGTGGAGTCAGCAGAGCCCCCTGTTCGGTTTAGGTGACGGTGGTCAGAAGATTTCACGATTAATTTCATTTGGGGAAACGAGTTCCTGAAAAAGACTCTCTTCCTGTTGTCCACGTGAGAAAGTCGTCTCTGTTTACAGCAGATATTTCTGAATGAGAGACCTCTGAGGAAACAGCAGAATCAGGAATCCAGGGAAGTCCCTTGAGGGAAACTGTGACCTGAAGAGGAAACTACCCAGGAAACAGTCCAAACCGCCCACTGAACCTGCTCCTGGGAGGGTCCTTGTGTTCAGGGCCCCTGAGCACCTTGGTAGCCTCAGCCTCTCCTGCATGGAGGTTTGTGTCTGGCTCACATTGACCACTTCTGATTGTGTCTCCCACAGAAACACACGGCCGAGTGCTCAGATTTCAGGCTGTTCATTTGCAGATACAGCGTGTTCTTGGCGTTGTCTCTGGAGATGGTGAATCGGCCCTTCACAGCGTCTGCATAGAATGTGCTACCACCATTACCACTAATAGCTGAAACCCACTCCAGCCCCTTCCCTGGAGCCTGGCAGACCCAGTGCATGGCATAGCTACTGAAGGTGAATCCAGAGGCTGCACAGGAGAGTCTCAGAGACCCCCAGGCTTCACCATGGCTCCCCCAGACTCCACCAGCTGCACCTCACCCTGGACACCTGCAAACACAAAGACGTCCTAGTCAGGAAACTCTCACACGTCCACTGTTTCTCTCACTCATGTCCACTCGCACACTCAGTGTCTCTTGTTCTCCATAAATTACCTCTGAAAATAGCAACAAGGAAAACCCATCTGAACTCAAGCACCATGGTTACTGGTCCGTGTTCAATCCTGACCAGTGAATGAGAACAGTTGGGGATCCCGGGGCTGGGCTCCTGTCCCAGAGCTGCAGGGTCGGGGCTGGTCTGGCTTTTATGAATAGAAAGTGCCCTACTTGCATGGCTTCCTACTATATAGGGACCCCGGGTTTAACCTACAGAGAAGGCAGTTCCTCTGTGCGGGTGAGAGTGTCCTGTGGCCTTGGGATGGCCATGAAAGATTTAATTTTCTAAATACAGAATCATAAGTTTTCACTCAGCCAACAGACCATACCTGGTACCAGTGAGCCCAGGATCTGACCTCTGCTCCTCCACACTGGCCACGACTGTTCCCATAATCCAATTCCAAGGCAGAATGGGACCTGCCCAGCGGGGGCGCAATACCCCATGTATTTAACAAGAGCATGAATGAAAGTCTGTATTCTGGTGTCATCCAGACTTCAGGGCTGGTGACAAGCACCTTCCTGGAAAATTGACCTCAGGGTGCAGGTCTTGTAAGAGGGGATTCCATGTACTTGGTGTGTTGGTGTCCTTGGCCCTGGGTATCTCTGGCTCCCTGACCTTCAAGGAGACCAACAAGCCTGAGTGTTGAGAAGATGCTTTTCTATCCTGAGGATCCAGAGACACTAGGAAGTTAGAGAGATTCATGGAGCTGATGGGGTCCTCTGGGTTTCCAACAACCACAAGGACATTTACAGGGGGTTTCTCTGCAGACACTAAGGAAAAACCTTAAAGAAAGTAATGAAATAAATAATTAGTGAAATAAATATAAGCCAGGACACCTATGACCAGTGCGATTGTGTGAATTTAAAGTGAATTTCTCATGTATGAGATGGAGACCTTGGCAGTTAAAATTCAGTCAATGCCATGGCGATTGCAGTGAAATTGATCCCATGGCCTGTATTTTGGGAAGTTCAATTATTACCGTTTAGGGTGTTTATTGTAAAAAGTGGACAGCTCTACATTTCCATACCATTTGGGTAACTGTTTTGTAGCACCTGCATGCAAGAAAAGCACATTAATGTATATTTTCAGAGTATGGACATAAAAACTGGACACAGACATTCTTGTAACTCCCTTCCTTGTGTGGGACATGAGCTCAGTGGATCCTGAGCACCCAGGCGTCCTGAGAGCACATTTTCCTCCAAGACTGACAGAGGTTTAGAGGCCCCTCCTCTCATCCAGCTGCCTGTAGGGTCCCTTCCAGCAGGAGCACTATGGACCCTGCTGTTCACAGGACGCCCCCCTGACTCTTTTCCATCCATTGTCCCCTCCCGCTGCTCCTTGGCGGTCAATGCCCAGGGGTCTCTGCTGCATCCCAGGTGAGCCCTGTGTCTGTCCTGTGGCTACGACCTTATTGCAAGAGCCTTGGACAGAATCTCCTTTCCAATTTAGCGACTGTCAGAAGAGCTTTTCTGTAGTAACAGAGAGAACACAGTGAAAGGGGCTTCAGACTCAATAATCCACAGGCAGCAGACAGGCTGAGGGACGTGCTCTGCTCCAACCCCTGCACCTTCAGGAGGGGGGATCCGAGAGCAGAGCCCAGGCCCGGGGTTGGGGTCTGAGCCTCAGAAGGCTGATCCCAGGCCCGTGTGGAGGGAGGAAGCTCAGGGGGATGTCACGGTTGCCTCAGGATGGTGATTTCTTCCTAAACTCCATTGACCTCCTGGGAATGGAAATGTCAATAACTATCCTACACCTGCCTCTCAGCTGTTCTTTAGGAGGTAAGTTGCCGTCTAGTATCCCAGGTCTACCGGTGGAGAGAATATTTTCTTGGGATGAATCCCCCGAAATTGCCACCCATACCTGACTTGTAGATGGGGTTGGAGACTTGTCAGAGGATGGTTTTGGGGGGATTTAGGACCTGAGTTCAGGATTTTGTGAGTCTGCATTTCGGGGGATGTAGGTTTGTGATGAAGGTAAGTGTCCTGAGGGATGGATGTGAGTCTGGGGAAGGTTGAGGGTGGCTGTGGTTGTCTGGCTCAGGCTGGGAGCCTATGGAGGTTCTATGGAAAATGGGGCCTTGTCATGTTTGAATAATTTATAAATCGTGACTCTGGAGAAGATCCAAGAGCAAGTGTCAGAGGAAGAGGAATCCCCAGAGGACAACAGGGGCCCAGGGCTGCACCTGCACCTCCACCTGCACCTGCTCCTGGGCTGGATGCTCTGACTTCTGTCTCCTGAGTGCCCCCTGGTGTCCTGAGGGTCCCATGGTGTCCTGAGGCTCCCCTGCAGTCCAGCCCCCCCACTTCCTCAGGAAGGTTTGTGTCTGGCTCACACTGACTTCCCCTCACTGTGTCTCGCACAGTAATACACGGCCGTGTCCTCGGTGGTCACAGATCTCAGCTCTAAAGAGAACTGGTTCCTGGACGTGTCAGCAGTGATGGAGATGCGGCCCTGGAAGGCTGGGTTATAGCTGGTGCTTCCTGTCCAGTACCCCATCCACTGCAACCCTTTCCCAGGGCTCTGGCGGATCCAGTGCCAGTAGTAACTGCTGGTGACCGAGCCCCCGGAGACAGTGCAGGTGAGGGAGAGGGTCTGCGAGGGCTTCACCAGTCCTGGGCCCGACTCCTGCAGCTGCACCTGGGACAGGACACCTGGGGAAAAGAGCAGGAAACTTGTCAGTCATGTGCAGTCACAATCCCCCCATAAATGATGCCTGACATCTGAGACCCTCACCTTGGGGGGCTGTCACCAGGCACAGGAGGAGACCCAGCAGGCTCATCTTCTTCTAGACCAAGGCCCTGCCTTCCCCAGAGTCCTCAGCCCTGTGTGAGGAGGGAGCTGTGAGCCCCACAGTCCAGGGGAGCTTTTACCCTGGAGCCTGAAGGGACATTTGCATGTGGGGCAGCCTCTTCCTTATAAGTGCGGGGACTGAGGTCAGGCTGCCCTGGTCATTCTGGGACCCTTGGGGGCATCTCTTCCCTGGACCTCACTCAGCATGTAAGTCAAGGATAGGGGGTCACCTGGTTTATGGGGCACATTGGAATTAGATTAAGGAAAGACTCCCCTCTCTNAACATTGGAATTAAATTAAGGACAGACTCCCCTCTCTGAGCATAGGAAGGAATGATGGGGTGATGAGTAGGTTTTACTTTTAACTTTTGAAACACATTTAAAAGGGGTTAGCATCTGTAGAGACAGTTCCATAATTCCAACACTTAAATAAGTCTACAATAACCAAATTTTTATCGTCTTGTTATTTGAAAGTAATGTTTAACTTGGTGTAAAATATTTTAGAAAGCACAGCCATTTTTAAATCATGTTTTCTTCATTTAGGAGGATACTTTGATCTGAGTGACTTCTTCCAAGCACAGGATAAGGGGAGACCCTTGATTCTTGATGTTGGATCATTTTTTTATGGCGTTAAAACTCTTTGCAAACGTTTCCCTTATGCGAGCCCGTCGCATATAGCAGAGTCCCCAAACTAATCACATCACAAATAATCTTGTTTTTACCTGGAGAAAAGATTACAAATAAACACTGTGATTATGCATCTGCACCACTGAGCATCTTTCTAATGTGGAAATGATGTGGCCGCGTCCAAATGAGAAAGCCCCTGTCCTAGTGTGTGCCGTGCCCGATTGTGCACGTCTGTAAGAATTGCTGCCCACATCTGGGCCTATGATCTCCCCCTGGAATCAACTGCTCCAGGACACGTGTTCAAAGAATCAGAGGGAAAGTTTTCATAAAAAGGAAAAGAGAGGAGTTAAAAGACGAGATGCCTTTGACAGTCTCCAGTAATGACACACAGAAGAAANGCAACACTGGGGAAGCCACCGGGGATCACGAATGGGGGACGTAACCCAGACTGAGGACACACCACCCAGGGTTCCTGCTCCATTCGCCTCTGACTCTCCTTGTTGTGTGATGGGTTCAAGTTTCCTCTCCTCACTTTCCTCTGAAATAGCCCCACACGTTCCCTAGAGTCATGAGACACTGTGGGGAGTGTGCAGGGCACCAGCCCCGTGTGTGCTGACCTCCTACCTCCCATCTCTCCTGGGCTCACTCTCTAGTTCTGTGAATCTCCTGGTGCCGTCTCCAGGGTTTTCTATATAGAAGATTATGACGTCTGCATACAGGAAAGAGAGAACATCTTATGATTTTTTTTTGATATACTTTTCATTTCTTTTCCTGCCTAATTATTCTGACAAGGACTTACAGTTCTGTTGATAGAAGTTGTCACACTGGGAACCTTGTCTTTGTTCTGGATTCAGAAGATAAATTCTCTTCTCTCCTATTGTAATTATGTCACTTGTTTGCTTCTTTCATGTGGCCTTTGTTATGCCGAGGGCCAAGCCTTGAATAACTAATTTATTTCATCTTTACTCATGAAAGGAATTTGAATTCTTAAATATGTGTCCTTTTATCTGTTTAAATGGAATATTATTTGTCCCTCATGCTGTGGGTGAGCTGTAGCACATTGACCGGTTACATACATTAAACCATCCTTGCCTTCCAGGTCCCTATCCCACTGGAAACATAAATGATCCTCTCAATGTGCTGTTGGCTTTCCTTGTATATTGTTGAGATTTTTTCCATTTATGCTCATCAGGGGCCTTGNTAGGGACCCGGCCTCTCTCTTTTTACTGTTCTTATTTGCCCTTAGTATGAGAGTACTAGTCACCTCAATAAATGAGTCTGAATGTCTTTTTTCTTCTTGAAAATTTTGCAAGTGTTTGAGAAGAAGCGATTGAGACAACACTATTTGTTTTGTGAAATTTGGTAGAATTTACCCTTGTAGCCACTCGAACGTGGAGTTTTCTTGTGGACAGGTTTGGATTAATACTTCAATCATTTAAATAAATACAAACACATCTAGGAATGTCAGGGTAAATTCTTAATTTAAGCAACAAAATAATGGACAGAGAAACACAACTGTTGATCTTCACAGGGTAATTGTAATTCCCACATGCACACCCCTGGACGGAGCAGTGACCCCCTAACAGGTGTCCTAAGTGTGCACCCCTCAGGTCGACCTGAGCAACATGAACCTACAGGGGAGCAGCTCGAGGTCCCTGCCCAGGGAAAGACCTGCCTCTGTGCACTGCAGCCAGGGGCTGGTCTCTGCAGGCTCTGAGGTGGGCAGGACCAGCTCCCACCTGAGACTCAGCAAATGCATGTCTGCTCTTCCCCCTGAAGGTGGAGGGATTTTCTGAAGAGGGGACAAAATCATTCTCCTCAAGATTTCTGGGCATGGAGGGAACCAGATGGAAATGGGAGCAAGTCTTCTGAGCACATTTAACAATTCCTCCTGTGAGAGGCAACACTCAGCCAGGACACCCACAGAGTTAAAGGACAATGTATTTGGGATCAATGTGGAAATTACACTAGTTAGCAGACCACACACTTGTTTCTTGTCCCATCCAAGACAATGAACTAAAACCACACTTTCTTACAGAGATTTCACAAAATGACTTAGTCCTGAGTATGCACCTCATTTGCCTCCATCGCCAGGGAGCACAGAGAACATGTCCCAGCTGCTGGTCTCTGAAATCCAAGGTGGTTTGTGCTGCAGACACAGCTGTGCCCAACCCCCAGACCATGGCTGAGCTCGGCAGGGACACTAAGGCAGGGCCATGGCCTGGAGACCCAGGTGAAATCTGAGGGAAACACAGAGTGAAGAAATCTGTGACCCATGTGTTGGGAGGTCCTGAAGTGCAGGGAGCATTAGGCAAGTCCCACTTTTCGTGGACAGACTTTGACTGTGGGCTGATGGTTTCTCAGGCTTACCAAACCCTCTGCAATTTTCTCCCTACAAGTGATACACTCCCTTTCTGCACGTGACAATATTTCTACTAAACTAATAAATACTTCCAATGGAGACCCATCAGGGATAGGCACAGAGCCACAGGTGTGGAGACTATGGAGAGACTGTTGTGCAGAGAGGAAGCCCTGAGCCCTGGGAGGAAACAGCCAGAAACTCCACCTGCAGCTGCTTCTGAAGCTGAGACAGAGTCTGAGGCCGTGAGCGCCCCCTGGTGTCCTGGGGGCCCCCTACAGCCCAGCTTCCTGTCTCCTGCAGGGAGGTTTGTGTCTGGCTCACACTGACCTCCCCTCACCGTGTCTCTCACACAGAAATACACGGCCGAGTCCTCAGATTTCAGGCTGTTCATTTGCAGATAGAATGTGTTCTTGGCATTGTCTCTGGAGATGGTGAATCGGCCCTTCACAGAGTCTGCATAGTATGTGCTACCACCACCAAAACTAACGTATGAGACCCACTCCAGCCCCTTCCCTGGAGCCTGGCAGACCCAGCTCATGTCATAGCTACTGAAAGGGAATCCAGAGGCTGCAGAGGAGAGTCTCAGAGACCCCCAGGCTTCACCAGCTGCACCTCACCCTGGACACCGGCAAACACAAAGATGTCCTGGTCAGGAAACTCTCACACGTCCACTGTTTCTCTGACCCATGTCCACTCACACACTCAGTGTCTCTTGTTCTCCATAAATTACCTCCGAAAATACAACAAGGAAAACCCAGCTGAGCCCAAGCCCCATGGTGAGTGGTCTGTGTTCAGCCCTTATCAGGCAATGAGAACAGCTGGGGATCCCTGGCTGGGCTCCTGTCCCAGAGCTGCAGGATCGGGGCTGGGCTGGTTTTTAACCAGAGCTGGCCCTATTTAAATGTCGCCCTACTATATAGAGAACTTTGGGGTGAGCCTGCATAGAGTCAGTACCTCAGTATAGGTGAGAGGGTTCTAGGGTATTTGGTTGCCATGGGAACTTTTCACTCACTTAATAGAGAATTATAGGGAGATTTGGGGTTTGTTGATGAGACCACATCTAGTAACAGTGACCCAGCATCAAGGCTCTGATCTTCCCCAGTAGCTCACAGTGCTTCCCCAAACCCTCCCCTGGACAGAGCCAGAACTGCCAATTGAGGGAGCGTCCAGAATCCCTTGAGTGTAAGAAGAGCCTCCATGAGCCCTATATTCTAGTGTTACCCACACTTCAGGACTGTATCCACCTGTGGCCCCAGAGTCCTCACTATAATGGAGAAGGTTGTGTATCACTTGTGAGGTGGTTCTAAGTCAGCTAAGGGGAGTCAAGTTCACTGAGATCTGGGAGGTACAACTGAAGTCTCTTTTTGCCCAGGACCACTATCAAGTGACACAAGAAATCTGAGTGATGCGGGGAATCTGAGTGTCACAGGATGACAGGCCCCAAGGTCTGTTCCCATTGTGCATCTCCTGTCCCCCAACAACCTCTAGGTTCTTTGGCCGTAGGAGTCCTCTCATGGGATCTCATCTCTGCAAGCAGACATCAAGCTCTTGGTGAGTGGTTATGATAGATGTGGTCCAATAGCAATAGCACACCCATGAGTAACAGGGTCCATGCTGGTAAGCAGTGACCTCTCCTTCTCCCTGGGAGTCGGGGCCTGAATTAGGTGGCTTCCCTTTCAATGGCTAGAGGGGAGCCCATGGTGTGGCCATGGTGACAGGTGGCTGTCCTGTCAGATCCCCATCAACTCTTGTCCTGGAGGGAGGAGCTGGGTCAGCCTCTGGGGTCCAACTTCAAGAAGCCCAGATATGAAGGGAGATGGCACTGGAAACACTGGAGCAGCCTCGGGTCACTGAGCTCTGACCTCCTGACCTCTGATCGGGCAGAGCAGCCTTCGTTGCTTCGGGCTGAGACTCAGTCTCAACATTAATGCATTAAATTAGATTTTACAGTGTTAATTACTTGAGAGTATAACCAGTATGTATAATTAGATTAGGCTCCTA